ATAAACTTCAGCCTTTATTGTATGCTTGTCAAATACAGTGTGACATATATCCAGATGTAACGTAACTATCTTTGACCCACCAGGCAATGCAAATAGTGACCCCGTTGTTTTAAAGCTCTGATTCAAAACAGACACCAAAGAACTCTCTTACAGAGAATCCAGAATCCCCAGCAGCTGGAAAACTGCCACATCCTCTTCCATGTGGAGGAGGGCAATGGGATTGCCACAGAGTTGACACACATGCTGAAGCCAAACCTAACCCTCCAGAAAGCCACCAACAGCCCTTGGGCTCCACTTGCCACAACCCTCTGGGTTGGATCTTCAGCCCAAAGGAACTCAGGATAACCTCAGGACACCAGAGGGGAGAGAACCTTCCAGGTCAGAGAAATCCTCTTGTCCTTTACCCCGAGGAACCACTTCATGCACCCTCATGGAACGGGAGAGCTCCAGCTCAAGGATTATTGGTACAGGCTCTGGAAGGAACCCCACAGTCTGTGGCTGAGCTACATGTCAGTGCCAGCTCTGCCAGCAGTGCCCACACACAGAAATAGCCCTGTCCCTCCAAGGGGAGAAACTACCCCTCTTCTTTCCCTTGAGAACAGCAGAACCACCATTACTAAAGAGCTGCCCAGAGTCCCTTTGCATTGAGACTCCCGCAGCCTGCCAGTCTGAGCAAGCCAGAGCCAGGGAAACAGCTGCCTCCAAGTGCTTCTGTGGTCTCACCACCCCTCTCTTTCTCAGACAGTTCAAATCCTGAGGTGTGAACGATGCCATCTACCCCCTGCAGTCAGCGCTCCTCCCACCTAAACCCCTTGGCTGGGCTGTGCAGCTGCACAAATGGGGTGAAGGAGGGACATTCAGCCCCTCCTGCGGAGTAAGTATCCTCTCAGCACCGCAGTCGCTTGTCAACGACAACTTCCTTTGCACAAACAAACAGCCCTGCGATCTGTTTACAAGAGCATTTCTGCAGCGATCACCGCTGACTCCCTGCAACTGGGCACTGATGTTTAGTTTCACAGCACACACTTCCGTCTCTTTTCGTGGTGCTGTGGGTGAGGCCGGGGCTGCAGCCTCTGGTTTTACCGTGCTGCCACCTCACTGTAGCTACCCAGCTCTTAAAACGAGGAGGAAGAAATCACTATGTGCTAGTGAGAGGGAGAAGACAGTATATTAGTCCATCCTCAGACTTTCTACAAACCTAAATGGCTCCATCATAAAAGCCATTAGTTGCTTTCCTCCTTTTCTTGGCACTGAGTTAATGACTGTCTCCTAACACCCTTTTCATTGTGTAGCATAACTTGCAGCTAAAGGTTGCAAGATATTAATGCACACACCATCTGACAACACCTATTTCTTCTCCTGGTCTGCCTATGCATGCATTAACATATTTATCCATAGTCAGACACCACAGTCTCTCTGGCTTTGCTTTGCTGGTTTGGCTGAACACATCAAACGCTTCCAGCCTCCCCTCATCTCCTGAGAAATGCCTTCGATTATCCCTCCTGTTTTCTCCAGCAGCCTTCCCCTTCACCTCAGCGAGTCTGGATTTATCCTTCTTCAGTGCTCAAGACCAGAATAACAACAAATGGAAGAAATGAGATTCTATTAAAAAAAAAAAGCACCAAGGAATTGGGAAATGTTTTAGTCAGGTCATAAAAATATGACAACACAATGAATATTGTCTGGATTTGTTATAGTTAAGAAACATTACCAAAGCAATAAGATAAGTAACAGACATTAGCTTGTCACATTAATTTTCTTTTTTAAAATCCATGTTGAGAATCATTCAAGTAATAATATGAAATCAGCCAGCACTCTGCAATACAGATGAAGAAAATACTCCAGAATCTTCAGCAACAAAAGAATTTCATACCGAAAAATACAATTAACATCAGAAAGCTGTCCTGCCATCTGCTTAAAACAAAGTGGTTTGCATTTAATTCCTTGCTGTTATCGGGAAACAGCAAAATGCTGTGTATGACTTGATTTTGGAGGATTACCTTGACTGATGACAGCAGTACATGTTTAAATATGCACATGCACAGCAAGCATTTCCAAATGCAGGATACCACGTTCCTACAACCAAACTGCAGGATCAGAGCTCAAATGGAGCTGCTGATCAGACCTTCAGCACACGAGAACTGCCACCCTCACGATCTTCCACGGGTGGTGGAAGCGGCAAAGGCCTCCACGGGGCTGCAACTACAGACCCGGGATGGCTCATTAGGAGCATGTGGCTCCTGCAGCAAACCAGGAAAACAGCACTAACTTATTTATCAGAAAGCTACAGGGGACAGCAAGGTAAGAGTCCACACTGGCAATGTCTGTAAAACCTCTTGGGTTTAAGGGTGACTCTCAGCAGCCTTTTTGACCCTCCTCTGCTCAGCTATCCAGTGTTATCCAGCTCACCAACTGGGATGCAAACCCTGAAGGCAAGCTCCCGGAGAACTCCAAGGTGGGGTCAGGAACAGTGACTTGACCAGGAACTTTGAGCTCTGGCTGCACAAAGAACCATCTAAAAGGCTGTCCAGCCCCACTGCTGGACAGCACACACTACACAGTATCTTCCTTTCTCTGCAACAGAGAAGAAAAGGAAAGGAAAGGAAGAAGAAAACGCAAGAAGCAGCTCAACCAGGCAAGACACAAAAAGCTGCAGAGCTGCAACCTCCAGCTCCTCAAGCTAAATAAAAATTCAGCACAGGGGAGTGGTTTTTTGTTTGTTTTGTTTTTCCCTCCCAGTGATTCACGTAATTTTTGTGTAACTTCGCTGATAAGGCAACAGCAACTTAAGGAGCCAGTTTTCTTGATTTAAGCACCATGCCATTATCCAGGCAGTGATTTACTGCTCTGCTCAGGCTCTGGCAGCCAGGACACACCGAGGGCTATGAAAGCAACTGCTCCTCCTGCCTCACCTCCACCCCTGCCTGGAGTCAGCTCCCAGGAAAACGTGTCTGCTTAAGGAAGCTGGCAGGCACCTCCTCCCGGTTCAGCACGGCCTGTCTCTCCATGCACACGAGATAACAGGGTTTCTTCACGACAAAAGCAATTGCTTAAAAGAATAACAACACAGGGGAAAAAAAGAGAAAGCGATCACACAGAGGTTGCATTGTCCTGGTATTTCTTCACTATCACCACAGGATCACTTAGCACAAAGAGAAGGAAATTAAAGAGAATTTCCTGTATAGCCTCCTTTATTCGTATATTTGCAGTTTCACAATAAACATGAACCCAACCATACTCTGTAAAAGGAGAAAATGGCATTTCCTTCCTGGCCTGTGCACCATCAGCACCCCAACAGATAGAAATTTACTCCCTTAAAATAGACACTGCTAAGGTGGTGTTCAGAAACAAGCTTCACCTAGCTGTCATGAATTATTAACCAGAAAAAAAAACCCTTCTTGCTCTTTACAGAGGCTTGATTTGCAAGTTTAAAAATCAAACTGACACTTAACTCCTCTTGTACAAACACCCAACCTTTAAAAAAAAATGCCCTGAGCATTATAAATACATTTTTTCATGAATACAAGAACAACAATTCTATAAATAGCTATTCTTCACAGAACTGCTTCAAGACATTGTTTTTACAGACAACAGTAGGAAACTGGAGGAGGTCTTGGTGCCAAACACATTAAAAGCGAAATAAACCCTCCAATCAACTCTGGGTTTCCACTTATTCTTACCAAGTTCGTCGTTCCTTTTGGGCTCATATGATCAGTTTATGCAAGGGAAGGAACACAGCAGAGGCCTGCTCTGTGTCCTGGCACAGCCCCAGCGTGTCAGTCCCAGCCTTCAGCTTCTCAGGGCAGCAATTTAACAGCTCTGGGTTGCCAAGAGATGAACCCACCACTGCCCACCACGAGCCTGGACTATCTGTGTAACAACTCCATGATAGGAATTCCAAACACACCGACTCCAAACCGAGCTCCATCTCCTCTACAAAGCAAACGTGGCAGGGATAAACATGATTTAATGCAACAGCAAATGGCCTGTTCAGCCTGCACGTTTCATGGTTACTACCTCCTCAAGCTATTTTTGCCCTGGTATCTAAACTGAAAATCAACAGGAACTCCTGAAAAAAACAGCTCCCCAACTGGCACACCAGGTTTCCATAGCCAGGAGCACCTTTTCAGTCACTTGGGCAGATACTCCTCACGAGGCCAAAGCTCAAAGCTCATCACCGAGTTCTACCACCACTTTCAGCAGGGAGCCAACAGAAACACTTACTTGGTAAGTACTAGAAAATTCACCTGTAAGAAAAGAGGAACTCATTCCCAGCTGAGACAGTGTTTTGCTGTCATCACTACAACAACAGTTTACTCTTTTGTATCTGATGTGGTGCGTGACACAAACCACATCCAGCTCAGGGTACTGAGCTCTTTCACTGCGGCACAGCCTCCCCCAGCTGCAAACGTGACCCTGTGGATTCCAAGGGGTGACAGGGATGTGAAAGTGGAGCAACGCAGGGATGAATCAGGCCATGAGCTTTCCCAGCAGCTCCCCAGCCATCCCAGTGACCTCAGCACACCGGAATGCTTTGGAAAGAAAGCATCCACGGAGGATTAGTGAGAACCTGGTGACGTGGCCCACCAGGCACAGCCAGGGAGCACTGTGGCCACCAAGGAGCAAGAATCCAAAGGGAGCCACGGCCTCTGGGAATTCTGGGCCTGCCACACAGCACAGACCAAATCCTCCGTGTGGAGAAGGCAAGAGAAACCACAACAGCATCACAAGCCCATCCTTGCCTGCCTTTCCAAGGACAATTACACACCTCACTGGACATGAGTTCATCGACATGGCTGGAAATGACCAACTCTTCCATCCATGTCTCCAAGATCTGTGCCCCAGGGATGAGCCACAGGTCTGCTGTATCTGCTCCTGAGAGGAGCAGAGCAAGGTGTGCTGATGCCATGCTGGTCTGCTGTGCCAGCCTCCTTATTCCTGCCCATCACACCACCATACAAAAGCAAGAACCATTCTGGAGCTGGAAGCTTCTCTCTTACCTTATTTTGATCTGTCCAGTAAAAGAAAAATCCTTGTGGGTCTGTTCTGAGAATAATTGGAGTCACAACAGTGGAGTCCTGGAAGGTAAAAGGACAAACAAGAAATCCATGTCAGCACACAAAACACATAATTATGCACAGGCTGCTCTGCCACCCGTGTTAATGAATTGCAGCATCCAGAAATGCCCCTGAAGGGATCACTAGCGAGATGGCACTAAAAGGATTTAGCATCACCTGCCTCAAATCTATTTTTTCAGACATAGCATCTTTCCATTGCTGTGAAGGCAGCACTAAACTCCAGACTTGTCAATGCGTGGAGTTAATCCAGAAAAGCTGGAAGCAGGTGAAGTTAAACAGGCATAACACACTGACTTGTCAAAGTGGAGTCCACAGAGCAAAGCACTCCAGTTACCAGCAGCCCACTGCCCTCCTCGAGACAACCTGACCTTCAGGTATCCACACAAGCTAAATGCCTACTAAATTATGTTTACAAAGACTCAATTCACCTGGAAAACCTGAAACAGCATTTGCTACATTAAGACTTGTATCAATGACTTCTCATTAGTATTTTTATTGTTTATATAGCCAAGCTATGAAGATTTTTGTAGTGGGAGCTCATGTGTATATACAAATGTTCCACCTCATCAGTTAATCATCTGTGTGGTCTGGTAACATCCATAGCTCAGGGCATTTAAAACCAAGCACATTTCTAAGTACTCAGAGAGGCAGTCTTGTTACTTCTGTATTTGTGGCTTCTGACTGACAGCAGGTACCTGACTCCAGAGGTTCAGCTCCAACCACAGCCTTTTCCACAGATGGGAGTTCATCCCATCCCTCACCCCCCGGGATTCTCTGTTGCCTGACAATGACTGACACAAGTGCAGCCTGGTCCTAATAGGATTTCTCCTCTTCTATTTTTCATGGCATCTGTAAAGACCCTGCTGTCTGGAGACATCTACCCGTGTGCCAAACTCAATTTAAGAAGTTCTGGAGGGAGCATAGAAAGGAAGAGAAAGACAAGCAGGCAGAAAAATTGCCTCAGCTTAACTCAGCTCCCCACAAACCCAGGCTAAAACACTGAGCTCCTCCTCGAAAGGGATTTGTATTTCTGTTCATATTTCTGTTCAAGTGGTACAGGTATTTTGCAGCTTGACCCTTCACCTATTGCCAAAGCATCAATATGTGAGGTAAATATATTCCTTTGAGGGGGAAAAAAAGTGGGCTCTAACAGGTTCAAATATTTGAGCATGGACGGTTTTTTTAAGTGCAAATAAAGTTAATCAAACTGACATTATCATAAATAAATCAAACCCAACTTCTGAGAGTACTGTTTCTGATGTAGGAAGATAATTAGAATCTGTAGAAAACATTTTCCCCTCATTTCTCCCTAGTTTCTACCATCTTGTACACCTGAAAAGTTGGGAACTGTTTGATACAACAGGCAAATTCACTTTTAAAATATACCTGAAGGGACACTGACTGGACCCACAAGCAACTACAAAGGGTTCTCAGACCTGTGCCATTCAAAAAAGAGGAAACAAAATGCTCTGGAAATGTAACTCTCCTTTTTTAGGTTATTTCATGCAGCCTGTGTGCAAATAATTTAAAATGAGGAAAGACAAAGCCTTTGGATGAGATATGTGCAACTTCAGGGGGGCAAGAGAAGCGATGGGAAGCAGACAGGAGCAAAGCAATTATCTCCAGGATTAACCAATTTTGCTGGTTAATCATTTCAAACCAGTTGCTTTAACCCAAAGGTGTTTGGATTTGCCTGAGCTATCAAAGCAATACTTGGATAGATGGGAGTTGTAAAATACTGAGTGAAATCAGACTCAAAGAAGCAGAGGATGAAGGGAAGGAGCTTTCAATATCCATGAGGTGACACAAAGAAAACCTTATCAAGACAGGGATAATGATGAGTCTTGGATACCTCAGATTCTCTGCTCCAGGAAGTTGTTTGCTTGTAGGTTTTTATCTTTAAATGAACGACACTACTCTGACAGTGGGCACAGCACAATTAACTGATAAACTAATAAACTTTTTTTAAGTCCCTGCCACCAAATGCCACGCTGTTCTGAATGAAGAGAAACGGAAATATATATTTTGAGTCAGCTCTCAACATCCTTCTCCTCACTCCGCATTAACAGAGTCCTTTGTCACCTGTGGAACAGCTCTGTTGCTTTTATCCCACTCTGCAATCAGGGCTTGCAGAGGCAGCAACAATCAAGAAGATCCACGAAAACCCCTTTTTGCAGTACACATTCAAGAAGAGCAGCAGTTCAAGGCTATGAAGGAGAAACTCATTTCAACTAACAATTGTCTGGTTCATTTATTTACAAACGCTGTTGTGCTATACCTGGTTTATGACCCATAAGACAGCCTGCAGTTGTTCAGGAGAGTGTTGTGAAGGCCATTAATTCCATTTTCTCACCCAAAGAGCTGCCCCCAAGAACTCCCCCTGAGCAGACTGACCAACCATACCCAGCTCTGAAGAAGCAGGTAAAGGACAGGACACAATAGAGGGGGAGGAAAGAAAAATAGCAAACAACTGGAAGGACAAACAAATCAGCAGCAGGCATTCGTGTCTTCCCTGACCCACTCAGATGCAGAACACGAGGATAAAACAGAGACAAAATGTCAGTGTTGTACATCTCTAACATTAAATTTCAATTTAATAGTAGGGGTATAGCTCTTCCATTCCTCTGGATGTTGACACAGCAAGCAGCCCTTTCCTTTGGGTAGGAGCCCCAGAGTCTTGGGACACTTCCAAGTGGATGAAAAGAGGCATAGGAAGAGATGACCAAGCCCAGAATCAGCTGTGACCAGAAAGGGAAGAGGAAAAGGAGAAAGGGTGTCCCAGTCCGTGGTGCAAATGACTGTGGGTTGTGAGGCTTTGTAAAAGCCACCCGTGGGTGCCTGTGCCAAGCAGCAGCTCAGCTTCCAGCACATTCCTACTGCAAATTCCTGGAATCAAAGGGTGATCTGGCAGTCCCAGTGTGCTGCACATCACACTGGGTCTAAACTTAAGTGAATAATTTTCCTGAAGGGCTTTTAATTCCACCTTTAAAAGCCCTCCACCTTTTCATTAGTTGACTTAGGGCCAATTCTCCACTTTCCTCCAATTCCGCAGCCTCAAATGAGTAATGAGGCTGTTCTGTACTTACTCCATTAGGTTGCCTCCTAATTGGCTGCACAACCTCAGGTCCTGCATTAGCAATATTCTTTGGTTTATACTTTTAAACCAAAAGCCTTCAAATTTACACCCACAGAGTGCCACAGAGAACTTTGGGATCCTTACCAACCAGGCACAGATCACCAAGGGATAAATCCATAATTAAGTACCTGCCAGGTAACTGTTTCAAGGCCTGACTTGAAGTGTGGGTCCCCCAGACTACACCCAACATTAGCAAGCATAAAGTGCCACCTCCATTTTAATGCTACTTTTATTTTTAATATTTTAATGCTACTTCAGCTGTTACAGCAGAGGGGGGGCTCGTGACACTGCCTTAAGCCAGCCTGTTGTTCCCTGGGCTCACCTCAGATTTCGAGAGACACAATGTCCACAAATATAACCTGAGAACTTCTACACACACCATTATTTCATGTGCTTGAATCTCCTGCTGGAAAGTTTCTGCCAAGCTGCTTCCAAACACAGAGCTAAGAAACATGAATTGTTTCTGGCAGAGGCAAAATGTTCTCCAGCATTTCTTTTCACATGGGCAAAAGGGCGTGAACTGGGGTTGAGCAAGTGTGGGGACAGCTCCAGAAAGGAGCCCCCAAATCAGGGGGATTCCAGGCTTGGGGAAGTGGAGGAGAAGGAATAGCAGAACTCCAGTTCTCACCCAGGCAGCAGATACATCAGCTGTGAAGTCCATAGTGCACTGGGTGCACTCAGACTGGAACTGAGCAGGAACTAAACAATGAGGACTAGGAAGGTATTCAGGCTGACAGCTGAACTGCAGTCCCATCCCACCTGCAATGAACTCCTGAAATCACCTGGAAGGGTACAGATGTCCTCCTCCACTGAGGGCAGAAGAACCAGATCTGCCATGCAAAGGAACAGACTGCAAGAAGAAAATGCTGGACAAAGTAAAATGAGTGGAAGGAGGATTAAAAAAAAATCAAGACTGGAATTGAGCTTATGAGACTCATAAAATAAATGCCCACTTGTTCACCAGGAACATGCAGGAAAATATTCTTCATTGTTGGAGTGGTTAAATCCTGGGGAAGCTCTGGTGATGGCACCACAGGACACAAGTCACCATTGTGCTGATCAAAGACTGAAGCCCTGCAAATTGACAGGAGGCACCCTGAGTGGGATTTGTTTCTCAGAAGTCTGTCCTACCCAAAGCCATTTCTCGAGATGTCCTCACCCTTGGGCTAATTATACCCTCACTGCCTATAGTCTTGATTTGTCTGCAGGAGTCCTTACACGTTGCCAAGTACACAGAAAGAAGGAATGAAGGGAGAACTTTGGAGCAGAAGTATCCAAATGCCAAAAAGGAAGATTTTTATCTCAGCCAGAGAGTTCTTGTGTGATGCTGAGAAAAGTCTCATTTAAGGCAGTCTGTTCATCAGCATAAATGCTGCATTCTGACTTTGAGAGAACACTGGAATTGCATTTCCACATTTCTTCTAATTTCCTGAAATGCTGTGCCCAAACTCATCTGAAGTCACTGGGGAGGCATCCTGAACACCTGACTGTGTGGTGCTATGCAGGCTGGGAATTAGGTCCAAGGTATCTAATGGCAGATTAAAAATTAGTAGGTTTTTATGTTAGTCTCTTTTTTCAGACCTACAACAGCACAACTGGGAACACATTTTGTCATCTAGTGGGCCTCATGAAAATAAATTAAAAAGTGCTTACGAAGCATTTACTTTATGATAGATAGAAGACCCCGTTAGTGATGAGTTAACTATTTGTTAACTATTTCACTACAGCTTTTATTAAAAAACAAACAAAAAAAACCAGTCTTGAACATTCAAACACTGCAGAGAAGAAAGCATCCACAACACAATCCAAATTCACAGTTAACTTCTCTTTCACGAAGAATCCTCATTTATTTAGGAGTTGTTTT